TTGTATCGAACTCCTCTTAATTTTTGCGTACTCGTGTTTTTTATCATCTTTAGTCTGTTGATGATGCTCATTGAGATCTTCCCGGGATCAACATATGCTAAGAATGTGATCGGAGACACTACGTTTTTGGGCCACCTCTTCGGTCGAGGTTGGTTCTATCTTGTCCTTGGTACTTTCTACGTGTGCAGTGGCCATATCGTATGTACAATCACCGGTGTATATCTGTTGGTTGTCGGTGTGATCTTCGTAACACTGGGTGCGATTCGCCATAGTGAGGAAGGCTGGTCAGCTGAGGAAGAGCTTGAGGTCAAGTCTGAGGTTTAGATTGAATTACGGTATGGGTGAGTTTTACTAATAGGCTAGTATTTGCACATCTGCAATAGTTACTCAGGAGTGCTACCGTTCAGTTGTCTCTTGTGTTCATCTATGGAATGTATTCAACATAGTGTGTTGTGTTGTTATATAGACCTCTATGCAGGCCTTGCTTAGTTGGTGTAGTCATCAGTTATTAGCTCTCCAAATATCCTTTGACGTATCAAGAGATCGACATTCTTTGAACGTATATTATTCACAACCATTGTAAATTTCTCGTTGTTGATGAGGTTGAAATACTAGTGAATGTAATCGGAGGAGTCTTCTGTTGGTGATAGACTCGCTAGAGTGCATCAGCAGAGGAAAATGAGGAATCGCTATACGCTGTGGATTCGGCTGTGAGTCTGGGCATGGTGAGTGTCTTGAAAGGTCTATGCAGTTGTCAATACGGAATTGTTGTGTTTCTGTCAATGAGGGGTTGTATCGCCGGCGAGTGATGAAAAGAATTTTGCTCATCCTATAGAGCGCTGTTAATCTCGTTACACGAAGAAAATCACGCATTTGTCGTCCTCATAGTAATCGTACTGGAAGTACCTATTCCAGCATGGAAGATCTTCTCGATGAAGGTGTGGCTATATTACTAGTTCTATCACGTGAATACGAGCGCAACGTAAGGAGGATTCAGTCAGATGACCAACAGCGCTGTACACATTTTGAACTACCCATTGTGTTAGAGTTTGCCGCTCATCATTGTCCGTATGTGCCAGCCGCTGTATTGATTGTAGTTTCCTAGCATTTCTAATGACCATCGAAACAGCAGTTGCTCCTTCTACCGCGGAGAGTGATGACGTTGTCGTCGCTTCCCCCAGGACTCGTACTAAGAAGAAGATTGTGCCGTATTATAAGCTCTTCCATTTTGCGACTAGAGCTCAATTGATAGCCATTGGTGAGGAACTCCTTTACTCTTATTGTTAATAACTTATTTTCTGCGTGCCTCAGTTGTCGCGGTGTTGGCCGCGGCCCTGCACGGAATTTCCCTGCCAATGTTCGCCTACGTTTTTGGAGATCTTGTTGGTGAGTTTTTGGGAGGATTCAAGAGGAATAAATTATTATTTTTCAGACGTCCTTGGCAACCCTGAAGGCGTTGATTTTATGGACGAGATTTCCAAGCGTTGTGTGTACTTGGTAGGTCAGCGGTTGTGATGTTCTTCCCGCACTGAAATTCACTAAGGTTTATATTGGGCTTGCAGCGCTGGTTCTTGCTGGGCTCTGGCATGGACTGCTGACTTTCACTGCACAGAGCCAAGCTACTACTATCAGGAGAGCCTATTTTGAAGCTGG